AAAAGGCTAGGATAGTATATCTTAAAAGAGTCAAACAAAAAGAATTTTATAGTCTGCTCCACCATTGTACCAGGTAGAAAGGAGAAGACATTAAAATTTCATCAGATTTCTCTTTTGAAATCTGATGTAAACATAGCTGAGCCATATTAGCTACCTGTTAGGATGAACATGTGCCTAACATAAGCTCTCTTCTGTCCTCTGATCCAAAAGACATGTATCAAAAGTGTTCATAGACAATTAGGTCAGAGATAACTCCTTTGAACCTCCTTTTTCTTAACTTGCTTGCTGAGTTTATTACAGGTTTTCAAATTCCTGTTGATAAAATTGAAGAACAAAAGTGCAGCTGGGGTTTGCGCAAGTGGCAATTTTAGGAGTACCTTCATTCTCTAAACAGCTTGACTTTTCTCGTCAGGGAAGAGTATCTGTCAAATCACATGTTCCTCTCCCTAAGATCCAGTAACAGTTGGCTAATATCTGAAAAATAATTATATTTGAGAACATGCAGTATTTCACAGCTACATTCACAACAATACAGCAATGCAATCACATCCACATTATACTCCTCCTGGACAGAAGAATTAAGTAAATCACCCAAATCTGGACAGCGAGCCAGTGACACAGGGAGGAGTACGACTGAGCTTTCCCAAGTCTCAACCCCACTGCATAACCACAAGGACATATAACTTGCTCTCATGGTCTCTTAGAAACCCTAAGTCACTGTAGCAGACAATGACATCAAGAATAAATCCACCTGGCATCAGACACAGCCTCAGCTAGGTACAGGATGAAGTTCAGCCTGGGGAATACAGTGAATGTGGTCCTTATGGCCAGACCATGCCAGTTCCTGCATCATCACACAAACCATCTTCCCTCTTTTTCTGGGATGAGGTGTCTGGTTTGGATCAGGACCAGCACATGGACAGGCCCAGCAGTGTGTGATGTAATAGCACAAACACCAACCCAAATGGAAATGCCTTTAGTCAGATAAGTCAGGTGCTCTGAGAGAGGCCCAAGGCCCTCTAAGTAAACCCAAAGGCAAACAAATCTGTCCATCCTCTGCTGTTATCTCCCCTGAAAACATAGGAGGGCCTGTATCTGCAGCTTCAAGAGAGTCTGGAAAAGTAGACCTACCTGATTTTCTGCCCCAGTTTGAAGCATTGATTTGAGAAAGATTCCATTCTTACAGCCTTGAGTAATTTTAGTTACTCTTTCTTGCCTTCCTTTTCCCAAACACTCTAACCTGGAAAGTGGAACTCCAGCACCCTAGGAGGGTATTACTGACGTGATGCATCCTGACAATATGTAACTCCTGTCTCCATCCTGCATTTTTACTCTCAAGTATTCTAGAAAGAACATTTTTTTTTCAAAATTGCATTGTGCCTAAGACTCAGTTAATCGTTTCTTTGCTGTGGCCAATAAGGTTTTTTCTTCTCCCCATAAATGACTGTTATTTTATACCTCTCCTTGATGTGAATTGCTCTAAAATGTGAAGTCTTACACCCCTTTACATTAAACTGCATTTTCTAAATATTGCATGTGGATTATGAGCTCCTATGATTTCTCTCATTATTTTGGTTCATCCAAATAGCTGACCAAAGGGAGGTCCATTAATTAACGTGTCTGATAATTCAGATCTTGTTTTCTGGCTCACTCTTTTGAGAGGGAGATTTGTTCTGTTTGTTTGATTGCTCTTCATGCTGCGTGTTCATGTCTACCCTGGCTTTTATGTTGTGTCCATCATCATGAAATGTGAGACAGTTGATAATTCTCTTCTAATTCACAGAACAGATACTGTCTTGGAAACAGCACATTTTGGCCTAAAAAGCAGTACTTGAAGCTTGACATGTAATCTATGGATTTGTCCAATCTAATTATTGCCACTTCCATCAGTGTTTTTTTGATATAGACATACATCCATTCAGAAAAATCACTAAAGCTACAGACGTAGCTGCCAGACAGTTGTTCTATTACTTTTGGCTTGGAAATGATTTGAAAGGTGCTGTAGAATTGGAAGGCTCTGATGAGCACCATCAGTCCCTTAAACAATGTGTTTTTCTTTGTTTCTGCTCACATTCAAGTATTATTTTAGTAGATTAGAGTCAATTTTTCACTAATTTAACTGTACTTTCTTGTAATTAGGTAAAATTTGTGTTTTGTTGAAGCCAGTGAGTAATAAAACTTCTGCAGCAAAAACTACTAAATATATACATTTTTAAGATAATAGACTGAGAGTTGGAGTACGTTAACATGCATTGAGCACTGTGCACCAATGCCAGACAAACTGCTGCACTCAAGCCTATTTGTTCACAATTGCCTTTAGTGTTTCTAACATGTGTGACCCTCTTCAATGCAGACACATTCCAGGAACAGTTGGCCGTGTGCACTCACTGGGCACTTTAGACATGTTTCTGACACTCATTCTCCAAAGAATTGTTCTGCAAGTCTGAAAATCATTCTAATAAACCAGAAAATATCTTCTTATATTTTTCTTGAATTTAAAATTCCTGTGAAGCCATTGGAAACTGGGCATGCAATGAGAGATCATATTTAGAAATGATCAGTCTGTGTTTGACTATCTGCACCAGAACTGCCTCCAGCTAACACCAGTGTAAATCACAAGCCTTTCACTGACACCCCTGAAATTATATGCAAAAGCAACTGCCCAAAAAAAAAAAAAAAAAAAAAAAAAAAGGTATTAGGCTTAGTCCGGTTAGATGTTTTCATTGGTAAAGGAATTAAAAAATATGATTTCTTTCACCTTCAACTCATCAGTGTTGTCTCCAGTCTGCCCCTGTCCTTACTGAAAGAGGGAAGCACATTGGTTTTGCACTGCTGCCAATTTTGAGGTTATGGTGAGGGAATATTAATAGTCACAACATCTCCAAGCAGCAGTGTCTGTCTGTACAAACCTTATCCACCAGCACACACCACTGGTTGTTTGCTTGCCAAACACCTCAGCTGACTCCCTGGATCCCAGGGATCCGATGGCTTCGCATCCCCTCCCAGGCCAGGGACGTACCACGAGTCCTCAGGATTTGCTCTCATTAGTGGAATCTAGGGTGACATAAACTGTCCAAGCCTGGGGACATAAAACTGATCCTGCCTTTCCGATAGATTTTAGCAGGTCTGAATAAACATCCTGGCAGGAGGACTGGACAGGTGACAGGGAGCAAGGATAAATTCATTTTGGCTAAGATTGCCAGTGAAATTAGTGAGAAACAGCCCGGTCTCCTTGTGCCATCCACGTTGCACAAGCATCCCATACATTAGTGTGGGATTTAATTTGGGCGTTTAAAGCTGCCTGCACTACGTTGTGACTGTGGGGTTTTTTACCCATCTTTTCTGCATGTTCTTCCTTTCAAATGTATATTTGATGCAATACATTTTCAAAAGGAATCGAGAAAGAGATAACTAAAACTACATGTATTAGTATTCCTGTTTAATTTAATATCAGCTTACTAGGTGGAAATTAAAATGATTTTTCTGTCACTGTTATCTGTCTTCACTTGGCAAAGATTGATTTCCTTCTTCCCTGCTGCTTACTAATAAGACATCTGAAAACTAAGATGGTTTTTATGTTTACTTCCTTGTTTAAATCAGCTTTCTTTACTAAGGATAGCTTTGGCAATATATCTGTTGTTTAACTTGTGATTTCTGTGTTGGCTCAGGCTCCACTAGTGACAGAACATCAAACTCAGAGAGACTATATATTTTTAATTACTCAGGGATGCCCTCATGCATAAGTACATGCAAATGAAACAAACTGATTTCAAAACTGGTTCAGAACAGATTGCACATTACACAATCAATCACATTTTGGTTTCAGAAATTATGGTGCATTATTTTGCTTCTCCTGCTGACAAGTATGGAGGTTATCAGTCGTCCCTTGCCATTGGTACTGCTGTGTCTGGCATTGCCAGGTTTGTTGCCACTTTATCGAGAGTTAACAAGCCAAGGAAGGCTGATGGCAATGTACAAATGGTGGAGTGTGAGAATCAGCTGCACAACTACTCTACATGGAATGACACCTTCCTACATAGGAAATACTAATGTCCAGCAAGTGGATTAGAAAACATTTGTCTCAAAGGATAGGACATGAGCACCCAGCCATCTGCCTCCAGAATCTAGCTCTCCTAGAGAGAGAGATGATTTGGGGTGGAGATGATAAATTAATGAGCACAGTTGCTGTTTGGAGTCCAAGCTGTATTGTATGAGCTTGGTACTCGCACTCCAGTGGCAAGACAGCTCTAAACAAGATGTAATCATTTCAAAAGACAAAAAAAGTTCAGTGAAAATTTTGCAGGGCAAGATGGTCATACCAAAGGAAAACAGTGGGAAAAATGGCCATCTGCATACTGCAGATGAAGAACTAAAGCCTTAGAGACAGAGGTAGCGTGGTGGGTCTCCCTAAAAGAGCTAACCATCTTTTCTGCACAAAAAAGCTGAGCTTTTTTGAAAAGTTGTATAATGTGTCCTGCAATACATGCTCTTCAGATATTATTTCATACCCTTTAGACATTTCACTGTATTGGTGGCCTCCTTATTTAAGAGCCTAATTTTTCTCTTTCCTACTTTCTTTTCACTCCATCTTAAATCCCCATGCTCGGCACTAATAACAGTTTTTCCTCTAGAGTGCCGAGAATATCTATATAGCAGTATCTTATCTTCTTCGACTTTAATTTGATTATCCTTCATTTATCTGATTTTTATATATTGAAGTTTAAATCTTTCTTTCTCTCTCTTGAAAAAGTTGCTCGTCCTTCTTGAGGGATGATGTCTCAAGGTTTCTTTCAGCCCTTTCTTATACGGTTCTATGATGTTCTTCTGTGTTTCTTTATTTTTGATGCAACTGCACTCAGAACTGAAATCCAGCAAGAACCTTCTGTGAAGATGCACCTGGTCTGTCCCCACTAGAGATCAAAGGTGACAAGTTCCTTGCATTGTACTAGAAGCAGCTCACACCACATGAGCAGCCTGTGTCCCATCAAGGGTGCCCTCACCAGCCATCTGATGGGTGACCTGAGGGAAGGGTGCTTGCATCTCTGGTTGCCTGGCAGCACAGGGCTGATCTTGGGGCACCTGGCTCCTCGCCTGGAAGCCTGGTCCTGATCAGCTGCGCCGAGCAAGCAGGCAGGTGTCTGGACACACTTCAGGTGCTGAGTGCCAAGGTTGGTGTACACGTGATGTGCCACTACATGGGCACTTCTGGCGCCGCAGAACTCGGGGGTGAGTTGAACGCTAAACCAGACCTGCTGCTGGGGGTGAATATGCAAGCGATGCTCTTTCATCCAATTTCCATCTTGCTGTCCTATTTTCGTGCTATCTGTCCTGGTGCACCTTTGGTACATATGCCAAAGGCCACAGAGCCGCTGAGGGAAGCTTGGCAGGCTGTGACCCATGGCGACCTGCCTGAATTAAAAAAAACCTTTATTTTTTCGGAGGTGGGGAGGAGTGACCTTTCTGCTGAGAAAACCGAGACAAGCCTCAGCCGTCCTCCCCGCCGCCGGCCCCCTCTCCAGGTCGGTCTCTGATGGGGAATGTGGGTGATGGAGATGCGAAGCGCAGGCGGAGGGGGTGGACAGGGAAAAGAAATCCCTTTCCCTCGCACCCCGCTACAGTTACAACCACAGCACGGACCCGGCCGGCGGAGCTCCCCGCGCCGCGGCGGCGGCGGGAGGCGGGGGGACCGCAGGAGGCGGCGGAGGAGGAGAAGGAGGAGGAGGGAGGAAGGGGCGAGCGGCTGGGAGGGGAGGGAACACCTCGGCTGGGCGGAACACGCCGGCCGGCGCGGTCCCAGGCTGCCGCGGCCGCGCTGCCCGCGCTGCCCGCGGCTCCCACTGCCCCCGTTCGCTCCCTCCGGGGCCGGGGGCGGCGGCGCCCGCCGCGTCCCGCCCGCAACTTTCCCTCCCCCGTGGATGGCTTTCGTCGGAGACCTGCAGGGCAACCGGGCGCTTGACACCTGTCCCCCATGGGCCGCCCCCGCGCCTAAGTTTGCCGGCGCCCGGCCGCACTCCGCCGCCGCCGCAGGGCGGGCTTGAAGCCGCGGCGGGGCCGCGGTGCCCATGGCCGGGTGCCCCGCCGCGCCGAGGTGTCCGTGCGCGCCGCCCCGTCCCGCCCGCCCGGGAGCCGCCCGAGCGCCGCAGCGGGGGCGCTGAGCGAGGCAGCCCCCGGCTCTCCGCCACCGGCTCGGCGCCAGCCGCCGGTGCCCGCCGGGTCGCTGGCGGCGGCGGCGGGGGGGGCGGCGGCGGGGCCGCGGGATCCGTCCGCGCTCGCTGCCCCCGTGTAGTTCTCGAGTCGTCTGTCCTCGGCGGCGGTCCGCGGGTGACATGCAGTCCCTCATCTCTCCGGTGACCAAGGCTATCCTGGTGGCTTTGTTCATCTTCGCCATCCTGCTGATCCTCTACGTGATTCTGTGGTACATCTGCCGCGATGTGGATTGCGACCATGGGATCTGAGCGGCGCCGCGGGGCCAGGGCTTAGGAGCCGGGATTCACCCCGCGGGGCCGGGAGCGGCAGCGGGAGCCCCTCCGGGCGGCAGCCGCCGCCACCGCGGCCGAGCAGGGGAAGAGAAGGGGAAGGAAAGAAAAGAGGAAAAAAAGAAAAAAAAAAAAAAAAAAAAAAAAAAAAGCGAGCGGAGGACCGAGCCGAAAGAGCCCGGAGGACAACTGCGATCAAGAAACCAACCTGAGCTTGACCTTCAGAGACCAGGGTGACCCGGTGAGTCTCCGCTCTCCGCGGCGCGGGGGATGCGCGGGTGCGGCGGGGATGCCTCCCTTCCTCCTTCCCGCTCTGCTCCCCTCCCCTCGCACACACACACACAAACACACACACGCTCGCACACGCACATGGATGTGGCACAGGCGCCCCATACACATGCCGCGTACACACACACACCCGTGGATGTGCGTGCCTGAGCGCCTGCTGCACGCAGGCATGCGTGTCCCTTGGGGACGAGCGGGACCCGTCCTGCTTGCTGGGATAAATTGTGCCTGCGTCCGTCCCCGCGTCCCCCCGCTTTAAATTTTTCGAGGTGACAACGCGCCAAAGGCAGCGCGCCCGCGGGAGCGGCCGGGGCCGGGTGCGGGTGCCGGAGGGCGGCCGCCGCGCTGCCTTTGCGGCCCCACATTGGTATGCAGGCGGTGGATGCGCCGCCAGGCAGACCTAAAAGGTGAGCCCAGGGGATGGGGGAAAGTCAATGCTTCATCAGTCCATGGGCAAATCGGGAAGTTACAGAAAATGAAGGGAAGATGTCAGGTATCCGGCCAGTGCCAGCAGGCAGACTTCGCGGAGGGGATGTGAAGCAGGATGAGTTTCTCCTTTCTAGGGCTAGGTTGATGGAAGGAAGTGGGGGAGATGACAGAAAAATGTGCATGGGAAGTTCTGGATGGTAGCGCTCCGTGTCTGGTCTCACTGACACTGCATTTCCTACGTGCTACTCTTTCCAAAAGGGTTAAACACTCAACGGTTTACCACATATTCAAGCTGGGCAATTTCAGAAAATGTTGATAAAAAGTACACAATCGATGAACATGTACGTGCTGACTGTGTTGGGACACAAGAGGGGGTGTATCCTGCCCAGCCGTTTTCCCACCTGAGAGAATTTGCTGTTGGCGATTTCTGCTCTTACTGCTCGGTTGTATTGAATACCCGGTGCTGAAGCGGAGAGACACATTGTGTTCAAAGTGGAAAAGACCTGCTGAAAGAAAAATTGTCCTAAAAACTTGAGCCGTAACTGTTTCTGTCCTTGACAGACAAGCTGTCAGGAATAGGAGCAAAGTCCAGCTGCGCGCGTTATCCCTGTCGGGATGTATTCAGATGCCGCAGGGTGTGGGTGCGTGTCCACAGTGGGGAGGACGAGAAAAATCAAATCCACGTTTCAAGCGGGGGAACAGGGACCTAGCCAGCTGTAAAGTGTAATCGTATGATTTGGGGTGACTTGACATTGAGTCTTGGTGACCGAAAGCTCAGCTTTGCAACAGGGGTACGTGGAGGAAACTGTTCGGAAGGCGATTCTCTTGCCATTTTGTGCTTCTGTTCAGACTGTGTTTTGAAGGGCTTTTGACCTGATTAGTTGATCAAACATGACATTACCGTTAACACACGCTACTAATGTGATTATAACAGCAGTGACATCAATGTTTCCTTGCCCTGCAACTACAGTAGCAATGCATTTGTTTACTTCCCCGATGCACGCTCTGAAATGTCTGTTACCCAACAGCTCTGAACAACAAGGGAAGAGGGAGGAGGGAGAAACTCTTACAGACATTTAAAAATGGCTATAGCTCTGTTTCCCTTATGCGTATAATGATGTGGAAATAAAACAACCTCCAAGTCCTCTTCATCTTGGATTTTTTTTTTTTCCCCAGTCAGTACACTTGTTTTTACCTAAGCGGCAAAAACCTCATCACACTTTGACATGTCGTGTCACATGTTCCCTTCCAAATTAACATCAGTGCACACCTGCCCCTCTCCCAGCTGGCAGGAACTAGTGGGTGAGACAGTTATAGAGGCTTTGCCATTTAGTGTTAATTATTTCATAGTAAACCAAACTGTTATTTATAGAACTGGATGAAATGTGGCAAATTAATGTGGTTTCCAAAAAACTTCAAATATCAAGAGAGATGTGCACGGGTGATTAAATATCTGAAGTGTTGATATGACCAAACATATTTTGTACTACCCATCATAACTGATGTTAATCAACTTAATAATTGTAGAAACCATGAAACAGTCCCTTCAGTTACTGTCTGGTCGTTAGTGTTTCCAGCTGGCTCATTATTATTTTAAGTATATTATTTTTAGGAGACAAGATGTGAAATTTTTTTCTAATACCCAATTTTATTCTAAATAAGGTGAATATATATGTGTTTATATATAAATATACATATAAGATTTGTATACAGTCAAATGGGTATTTTCCAGCCTGACAGAACTGAAAAATAAGCAGAGCAATGGTTAGCAGTATTGAATTTGATTTGTAGTTGTAGTCACAGATGTGTTGGCTTTAATTCAATACTGTGTGTGTTCATTATCGTGTATTAGCAAACATAAAACCCTAAAGATCTGAAACACACCTTTTCCTATTGCTGTGATGCCTCATAGAAGGGAATGATATCCTGGCCTTGCTCAGCTATGGTGGAATTTTGCAGCTGGCTTTGACAGAATCAGAAATATATTGGCACATTAGCACGTGAATTTGTAACAGCATGATGTTATTAAAGTTGAGAGAGATATCAAAACAGTAAAAAGGATAGAACTAATTACTGTGGAATACCTAGAGACCTTATTTTTGTAATTATTTACTTGTTTGCTCAGAAGTTTGGTGATGATTTTATTTCTATTTGATGTTTGTGCTCATGCCTCAACTCAAGAATTTTTACCATCTTGTTCTCTCTTAATGTGTGGTAGTGTTTCAAAGGTGAACTCTGAAATATCACCTGCGACTGAGATGCAGTGCATCAGGTAGATATAGATCACCTGTAAGTATTTTTTGCAATAAGACAGGTTGTAACATCATGAGTAGTGCTTTTTTTTATGGCCAAGACAGCTTGTTATCATGTTTCTACTTGAACCAAGAGAAATTTTTTACCATATTGCAAAAATCAGTAATTTCATGGTACGAAAGTATGTTTTTAGTCCAAAAGCTATTAAATAGGCCACTCAAATATTGTGTTAAATTATATTTCAAATCTTTGCCGTTTTTTATTGTGTGGAAAAAGACTGTGAAGTTACCACTGCTTCATCAGCAGAAGTGTAATGAATTTTATAGATTTATTCCTACTGCAAGGTAGAATGCTATAGCATGGTCCTAGGATTCTTGTCACATCAGACTTAAACATGCAGTATATTTCTGGATAAGTCATTCTTTACTTAATTCCTGGTCAGGCAAATTCCCTGCAGATTTATTAAATATTTTCTGTTAGTGGCATGTAAGAAGAGTAACTGGCCAATAAAAATCACAGATCTGCTTATTTTCTATTTTCTTCCTTATTAAACGGATTAATCAGAATCAGTGTCTTCATGGTGTGCCCTCTGTGCATCTTATGCCATTTCCCTAAAACAGGGTTAAAATGAGCATGGAAGATGATTCCAGCATAGAGGGTCTCCGCAGAGATGAAAGGTTAGCCGAGGTCCAAGGATGGACAGCTGCATCCTCGAGACGTCCTTGTGTCATACGAGTGCTCACTGTACATTTTCCCCTCCAGGTGAGTGTAAAGCAGAAAGCCTTCCAGCTGCTGTAGGGCAGGACACAGATCTGCCCTGTGCAGCTCCAGCCCCATTTGTTGGAGGGCCCAGTCTAGGACTGATTTTTTACTGTCTGTTCTATGCACCGCGATGAACTTGTTCCTCTCAGTCTTAAAATCTGTGAGCCTTAGATTATTGGTAATGTGACAAGCACTTGGCCCAATTTGCATGTTTATAAACAGCTCAGAGGTGGGATGGTTTGGATTCATTTTACAATTGATGTCATAATTCTAACCCTTCAAGCTGGCAGGGCCCTTTAAATGAGAAATCTAGGGGCAGTATTAGAGAATACAGTGTCACTGTAACAAGTGTATTAAACCTGCAGTGTCAGTGCAGGCCGTATCTTGCTTCCTGCTTCGCTAGAATAACAGTCGTGCATTGGCAATGTTAATACAAACTGTGTGTAAGGAGTTATTGAAAAGGTGGTGCAAGGGAATCATGAAAAACGGGCGGATTTTCTCTTCACCTGAAGATCCATCTCTGCTCTGGGCACCATGTGCCATTAGATGCTCGCCTGCTGCATGGCACCGTGTCAGGGCTGCAATTGGACATTCAAACATTTCACTGCCATTTCTCAATGGATGACTTTTCCCCCAGTTTTTCTTTGATGCATGACTGTTTTCTCCTTTTCCTTCTAAGCATTAATCCTCTGAACTGTGACTTAGTGCATAATGCAGTTTGTAGACAAACTGCATGGATTGATTTTCCTGAAGTGGGCTGACCAAATGATGAGTGTATTGGAAAGCAGCACACACTTGCTTATTTGTTGTTCTACATTAAGCTAGTTTTTAATGAATTATCCTAATATATATTAAAATGGCTTTAAACAAAAATTAAGGGTTACTTTTAATATGCATTGCTAGTATGGTTCAAGTAGTTGCATAGCAGCATCTGTTCTTGTTAGAGGCATTCTGATAACTTAAAATTTTACCCAAGTGAGAAAATGTGAGCTTTAGCTTGGAGGGGCTTGTAACACTGTCTGCTGTTGAAATTGCATTCTTATTTTGAATGTTTTGATATATTACTTTGGAATACTGAAGATATTTACTGGTGTTTTCACAAGTCATTAAATCATACATAAAGGATACCAATAAGGTGACATTCAGAGTTTCATTGCAGAGCGTAGTTTGAATGTGGATTATGGTTGTGAAAAAGATGTGGAAAAAATTGCTTGTGACTGATGAAGACAAAAGATCGGGAAAAGAAAGGAAAGTGTTATATCAAGATGGTAGAATAAAGACCAGTGTGTTCAAATTTTAAAAAGTAGAGCTAATGTGAAGTAAAATGAGAAGGTCAGAGTACAAAAATTGCCACTTTCCTGTATAGAAACTGTATGTACATAGTATGCATGCATACATATGTCTGTGTGTATTTATATACATTTTCACAGTCTATGTGATTAAATTAGAAATTTGCAACTCTAGAGCAAGCTGAGAATCTTTACATGAATGACTTTTTGCCTGAAACCTGACTCTATTAATGCCCAGTAGGAATTTACTTGAGACCCAGTTAGTGTTGCAGATGCTTCTTGAGGACTCAATGATCAAACCTGAGTGATGTTGAATATTGCGGTTATAAATTAATCATTTTATAAAGAAAATTCTAATGCTCTGTTCTCTTTGGAAAAAAATAATTCTGGTTACGTGGGCTGGAAGAAATATATTAGTAACAAATAGATTTTATGTCTTGTGTTTTCTATTGACCTCAAAAGTCACTACTTACCAGGGAAAAATCCTATTAAGTAATTAACATATGATGACCAAGACATATATGTGAGAAAAGAGCATCTCAGAGAGAAGATAGCAGAACTGTAGTATTTTGGCTCAAACCAGTAATAGCCAACATCTTCTTGAAAGGTACAAATGTACAACTCTTTGATGTAATACATCTTCTGTGTTTGTTTTTAAGTGCAAAGGATTAAAAAATCCTCCTGAAGTTAGGAGTGTTAAAATTTATTCACAGTGAAACATCCTGCAGGATTATAATGCTTTTTGGTATTATGGTATTTTATGTAACACCTGAGTAAGAAAATGTTTTGGTTTGCATGAAATACAGTAATGTATTACCAAGGCTAGGGGAAAAAAGTGCCTTTCGTATGAATAGCCTCTTCTGTATTTATTGCATATTGGGGTAAAGCTGAACTCACAGAGAAAATGTTTTTTACTGCTCAGTATCCATTTCAGTAGTGAGTTGTGAGTGCTGTGAACCCTTTTAAATGAATACCCAGCAAAGTCATCGTGATACCTACAGCAAAAATTAAACAATGTTTTCATTAAGCTGTGCTCTTTATGGACACTATATGTGACATAGTAAGGTAGCCTGCAGTGCATGTTTCTTATATATCTCTTATGATTAATGCACTCTTGAACATACTATCATCATCTCCCTTGTGAGATATGTGTATATAAATCAGCTTAAAAATGAGTTTACCACCAATCTCCATTCTAATGACTTATTTTAGTTTTCTACTGCAACACCATTCTTACACACTTAAGAGGGACGATAACTGAGTGGGAGTTTAATGAAGTGTCGGTATCAGTGGAGATAAAAGGAAGACTGAGTACACAGAAGGACATCAGTATATGTTTCTAGTGACTGATACAGCATAATTCAACTTGGCTGCAGTGACCATGAAACAGTAAAGTTTAAGATCCCTAGGTCAGTGAGGAGGAAGCATGGTAAGCTCACTACCCTGTTTGTCAGAGGAGCTGGCCTTGGCCTCCTCAGGGATCTGCTGGGTAGAGCACTGTGAGATAAAGCCCTGGAGGGAAGAGCAGCCCAAAGAAAACTGGTTAATACTCGAGGATTGCCTCTTCCAAGACCAAGAATAATGTATCCCAAAAAAGAAGTCAGGCAAAAATGCCAGGCTGCATATATGGATGAAAAAGGAGCCCCTGGACAAACTCAAAAAGGAAGCCTATAGAGGATGGAAGCAAGGATAGACAGCTTGAGAGGAACACAGTGAGATTGCCCAAGCAGCCAGGGATAGTGTTAGATAAGATAAAGATCTGATAGAATTAAATCTGGACGGGGACAAAAAGGGCAACGAAAAATACCTTCTGTAGGTATGTGGGTTATAAAAGGAAGACTGAGGAAAATGTGGCTCCTCTCCAGAAGGTGGTTTCCCAGGACAGGAAGAAGACTGAGGAACCCTGTAACTTTTTTGTTAGGTACATGAGTTGGCAACGTGCACGTGTCCTTGCTTCCTCTGAGGGCTTTCTTTTTGTGTTTGAATTTGTTCAGAAACTCCTTCCACTAGACCAGATTGCACACAGCCCCATCCAGCCTTGCCTTGAATACTTCAAGGAATGGGGTATCCACAATTTCTCTGGACAAGCAGTTGCAGTCTTTTCACCATCCTCACAGTAAAATCTGGACCTTTCTAAAAGATTAATCTAAACCTTTCTAAATCTAAACCTTTTTCAGTTTGAAGCCATTTCCCCTTTTCCTATCACTGCATGCCCTTGCAAAAAGTTGTCCAGCTTTCTTGTAGCCTCCTTTAGGTACTGGAAAAGTGCTCTAAACTCTCCCTGGAACCTTCTCTTCTCCAGGATGAAAAGCCCATCTCTCAGTCTGTTATAGCAGAGGAGATATGCTCCCCATTCCCTTGGTCATTCCTGTGTCACTCCTCTGGACCTGCTCCAACAGGTCCATGCCTTTTCTGCACTGAATCCTCCAGAGCTGGAGTTGAGTAGTCTTCATCCTTGGAAGTTTTTAAGACCTTTTGAGCAACATGGTCTGACCTCAAGACTGGCCTTAATTTCTGAGACCTTGTAAGGTACCTTCCAACTTGAACTACACTAGGATTGTATGATCCTATCAAGCATGTATTCTTGAGGGTCTTCTATGGGAATGAGCACTGGCTGGCTTGTTGTTATGCACTCTTTCCTTGACTCTTAATATGTGCTAGACAGGTAAACCAAAAGGATAGAGGCACAGAACTGGGAGTGGGACTGGGTGAGAATCTGTTCCCAGTAGTCCTAATCATCCTTACATTTTACATCTACAGCTCCTACACCATACTCCTGGATATGGTGAGGTGTGGAGCTCAAGTGGTACCTGGAAGTGCACCACTAGAGCAGGATGATCACTGTGCTCATACATGGAGGATGATGCCTTCACAGATCATAGTGGCCTGAAGGTTGAAGACAAAAATTGCAATATACTTATAGCCTGTTTAATTCTTACACCTCTATGGGGACTCCAGCACATTTCTAGGAACTGGAAATTAATTCAGTTACATCGCTCTGACTATAATATAATCATGCTGGGCATGTGTAGTGTAATTTTTTTCTGTAATCTGGTCCAGTTTCTATATTTATGTTTGTCTTCAGCTGTACAAAGCCTGTCACATTAACTGTCATGACTGTATGGATAGTTGGTAACAGTAGGATTTTCAGATACTGCCTGTTTTAAATGTGAACTGTGGCTTTGAAGAAAAAAGCAATCTCATGGGAATGGCATGCTTCAACACCAAACCTGTCATCTCATACCTAGGCCACTCTCAGCTTATATTTAGGTGGAAAGCAGATTACTAACTAGGGAAAAAAAGCATTTAATGCAAAAAGCCATTGTACCTTTTCTTCCTAGGTAGAAACAGCCTTTTCCTCAGTGGTTGGAGCTGTGCTGTGGTACCCGCCTGCCTGTCTGGATGGTGGGCAGACTCAGAGGAGAGCAGGGAAGCTGCACAAGGTGATAGTGGGTCCCCTTTATTCTGACAATCATTATACACCTGAGCCTTATCCAAATTTACAAGATGGAGCTATCAGGAGTAATTATTTTCAGTGCAAATCCAAGATAAATGAGAGCTGCAGTGCATCTGTTGTCAGGGGTTTAAACAGTGATTCTCTCATGTTAGTATACAGGCTCACTGCCACCCCCCACCTAATAAATACATGAAAAGCTACATTTCTATACCTCAGTTGTTTTTTTTTTTTACTTGGAGATGTATCAAAAATGA